AAAAACAAGGTGAGGAGGGTTAGTGGGGAGGGAGCTCCATTGAGTCCTGGTCACAGAGGGCAGCCTCGGAGTGTTTAGTTGACAACAGGTTTGTCCTTTTTGGCTGCCCTCAGCCACTGAGTTGGCCCCCACTGAATCCATTCTGTCCAGATCTGTGAGGCCGTGGGAGGAAACATGGGGACCTCTTTCTCCTGTCCTCAGGAGGAGGCTGGAATGATGGAAACTCCACAGCAAGGAATCTTGGGTGCTAACTGAGACTCTTGTTGTGGTATGACCGGGCAAGTCATTTAATGGCCTGGGTTCCCCTCGTGTGTGGATTTTTGTACAGTCCAAAAGAGGTGGTAGGTCTCTTTTGCTCCATAACAGACTACCACAAACTGAGCCCCTTAAAACAACACATATTGATGACCTCACAGTTCCTTGGGTCAAGTCTCCAGGCGTGGCTCTCTGGTCCACTGCTTCAGGGTCTGACATGAGGCTGCATTCAAGGTGTCCACTGGGGTGACACTCATTTGAAAGCTCAACTGGGGAAGGATCCACTTCCACTCTGACTTATGTGATTATTTAGTCCCTTTTGGGCCATTGGCTTGAGGGCCTCCATTCCTTCTGTCCAGTGGACTGAGGGACAGAAGAATCTTCAGTTCCTTGTCACATGGGCTTCCTCAACATGGCAACTTACTGTGTCAAAACCAGCAAGGGAAAAAGCTGGCCAGCAGGAAGGGGAAGTCAGAATCTTATATAATCTACCAAAACCGGTTTGGCTCAGTGGATAGAGCATTGGCATGCGGACTGAAAGGTCCCAGGTTCAATTCCGGTCAAGGGTATGTACCTTGGTTGCGGGCACATCCCCAGTAGGGGGTGTGCAAGAGGCAGCTGATCAATGATTCTCTCTCATTGATGTTTCTAACTCTCTATCCCTCTCTCTTCCTCTCTGTAAACAATCAATAAAATATATATATATTTTAAAAGAATCTTATATAATCTATCCACAGAAGTGTCCTTACTGTATTGTGTTGGGTGGAAGAGGTCACAGGTCACACCTAGCCTGAAGGGGAAAGGAATACACAGGACATAGGGCTCATTTGGGGCCTTAGAGTCTGCCCATCCTAGGAGGGGATACAAATGAAGACATGTCGTAAACTGTAGGGTGCTATTTAGATGTACTGAGTTATTGTTATCATTTGCATATAGTTACAAAGAGAAAATTACCCCCATCTGAAGTAACAGAGAGCCACTGGATGTGGGAATTTAAGTGCTAAATTGTACCATTAGCTCTGGGGCCTCGCTAGTTCTTCTTGGTTTATGATTGTAAGGCCAGACTTAAGCAGCCACAAAATGTCTAGGTCTTCTTTTCCCCGACAACTAAGGACCTTTTAATTTACAAGGGGCCCTCACAGACATGCATCTTACTTTTTCACTCAGGATCATACTTGTAAACTGAGTTTTTGGTTAATTTCTCTTTTACAAGTGAGAAAGGTGATCAGTAAGTGGTGGTAAGTGGTGGAATTGGGTCTTGAATTGGGTCTTTCACTCCCATGACTGCTTTCATTGCCTTCTTCTCCCTTCCACCTCCGACCATGTCGGGGCCATTTCTGCTCTATAGCTTTCAAGGTACTGAAAAAAGGGAGGGCAGGCATGGAGGGAAGGTGGGAGGGCACTGTTCTCATGAGGCATCACAATCCCCTGTCTCCTAACAGGCTGGGCACACCCAGGGGACCAGGCCAGAACTTTCAGCAGTGTGGGTCACTGCTGCCTCCCCCAACTTCAGTTCACTCCATGGGCCTGTGTCTCTTAAGCAGCCCTCAGTGGTACATAAATGTGAAGGTACATAAATCCTCCCTAGGCTGAGCTTCATCCCACATCAAATGCCCAGTGAACCCTTGAAGCATGGCCCACCATGTCACCTGGACAAAAGTCATACTTGTCTTGAACCACATCTGCATATAGGATGTGAACTGAGACATGCAACTTGCTGCCCCCTGGTGGTGGATCAGAGTCATAACCGCCAGAAATACTGTACCAGACGAGCTGCTGTGTATAATGCTGCAGGGAGATACAAAGCAATATAAAGCACAACTCCTAATCCCAAAGGCCTCATAATTTAGCAGAGGAGTCAAGGCGTTCCACATGCATGTTGACGAGCGTCCTACCAAGTCAGGGTTTGAAAAGTGGCCCCCGGAAAGGCATTGTGAGGAGCACAGAAAGAGAGAGCATCGCAGAGGGGCAGTCAGGGAGGCTTCCTGGAGCCTCTAAATACAGGCAGGACTTAAATAGATGGAGAAAGTGAGGTCATGCACTCCCGTCCCGAAAGCCCTTTGGAAACCCGATCATCTCCGAGAGTTAAATCCCTCCCCTGGCTTACAGCCTGTCCAGCTTCATGCCTCTCCCCGTCCCCCACCTCATCCAGGCCTTTCCAGGTTCCTACAGGTCCTGGAGCACCTCCTGCCCTCTCCGCCATGTCTACTGGACAAGCTCCGACTCAGCTTTTAGGATTCTGCTCATGCTTACGCCTTCCTTGTAACCTTTCCCCGAGGACTTCGTGTTCCTCCTGTGTGTACCCCCAGTCCTTGGTCTGTGTGTCTCTTGTTGTGTGTCTTACACCAGATCATAAGGCACGTCCAGTGCCTTTTCATCACGAGGCTGTAAACACCATATTGGAAGCTACGTTAAGTGTCATTGCATGCCCAGGCTTTAAGCTTCTGAAGAATGAGGCTTGCCTGACGGGCAGAGGATTCGTGTAGGGGGGACCCTGCGGGAGGAGAGGAGGGGGGACATGAATTGGTAGTGAGCATGCAGGGATGAGGTGCAGAACAAAGCTTTTGAAGTTTGGTCTAAAAGTTCCTGCCCAGGGAAACATCCCCTGCAGGCAGAGCGATGCTGGGAAGGCTCTGGGGGAAGAGAAGGGCATTGGGCATGACAAAAGGCTAAAGTGTGGGTGGCTGCTCAGGGACAAACTAGTGAAATCGATCAGGAAGCCATTGCACCAGGGCAGGCATGACATGCAAAGTGTCTTCACTGATGAACAACAGAGGACTAGAGGAGCCTTAGGAGAATTTGAGGATTTGAATGTCTGGGCAACAAGGGGAACATACTGAGGCCTTGTCAAACTCTACTATGCAAATTATCCGCCTGGGACCTCGTTACAATGCAGATTCTGCCTCCTGAGGCCTGGGGTGGGGCCTGAGATGCTGCGTTTCTAACAGGCCCCCAGGTGCCGCCCATGCCATGGCCCACAGCCCTCGCTGCGAGCAGGCGGAGTGGATTGGAAGTAGGGCTGGGTGTGCTGTGCTCCAGGAGCACGTGGTGAGGAGCAGGTGCTGTCTGTGGGTGAAGGAAAGGTGCTCCTTCCTCCACCTGAACACAGCCCGGTGGCGTGTGGCTTCTTGAGCGGAATGCAATGTGCGGCCCCGCCCTCACTTGTCCTTTGAGTAACAAACAACCTGCAAGGGCCTTCGTAGCAGCTCTGGGGAACCACTGGCAGACAGAGGTCGGAGGGGGGACCCATGCGGGTGGTGACTTAGCCTGAGTTCGAGCTGCCGGTGGGACATCCAAGCGGGATGTCTGTTCACTAGCAGAAGGAGACAGAGCCGGAGACCCAGCCTTGGGACCTGTAGGCTTCTTGTCGGTGGAGCACACAGTGAGGGAAGCAGGAGGAGGTGAGGTGAAGCTCAGGGACCAATCTAACCTGTGGGGCCTTCCTCAGGGGCAACACTCTTCTTCCATCCAACATCTCTGTCCCTTTTATTGTCTTGCAGGTCACCGTTCCCTCACTGAACGTAAGTGCTCACGGTCCTTCTTCCATCCTCAAGATGCCAAGGCTCCTCCCACCCTCCTGTTCTGTTGGCAAAACCAGTCTTGGTCCCCATGAGCCCGGGTCTTGGAAATCCCGTTCAGTGTCCTGCAAGGGGAGTCGGCCTGAGGCCAGACAGCTCTGCATCGGGCTGGCCTCCGTCCTGTGAACCCACATTAGCCAGGACCTTCTCCCCAGCCTTGCCACAGCCTTCCCGGAGCCAGAAGGCCACCTCCCTGCTTCCTCTGGGCTCGCCTGGCCCTTGTTTCCCACAGAATTGGAAAGAGAGGAGAGATTCCCCCCAAAAGGAGTGTGGGTTTGCGCCAGGGCAGAATTGGGGAGAATTTTTGAGATTCAGACTCTGTCCACTCCACCTGGATCAAGGGCTCAGAGACCACTGGTGCCTGGACTCCGGAGGGCAGTGATTGAGAGAATAGCCATGGGGGTGAACCAAGCCGGGTGGGATCTCCGCTAAATCAAAGCCTGGTTCATCAGCTGTGAAACAGATAATTAAGACCCAGCCCAGCCCTAGCAGTTTCGGCTCAGTGGATAGAGCCGTTAGCCTATGGACCAAAGGGTTCCATTCTGATCAAGGTTAGTTGCGGCTCCTCTCTGCGCTGGGCCCTGGTTGGGGCTTGCAGGAGGCAGCCAAATGACGTGGTTCCCTCACATTGAAGTTCCTCTCTGTCCTTCCCTATCTCTCCCACTCTCCCTAAAGGTCAATGGAAAAATATCCTCGGGTGAGGAGTAACAAAACAAAAAACAAAAAAAACAAAAAACAAAGCCCAAAGATGACGTGGAAGATTAACTGAGATAACCAGGGGAGTGCTTAGGGCGCTGCCAACAGAAGCTATTTCCTTTGTGTCTTGGACACAGGGTGGGGGAGGGATATAGTTTAAGTTTAAGAGGGTGTGAGGACAGGAGACAGGAGAAGGAAAAGAGAATTAAAGGAGATTGAAACTGGGTAGAAACAGGAAGCAGAATTGTTATGCCTCAGTTATGCCTCCTCTCTGTCCTCCCTCAGCTGGAAGCCCCTCTCTTCAGGAAGCCTCAGCTGTCCCCGGGCTCAGGAGGGTGGGGGGGGGGGGGGTCTGTGGAGGGGCCTCCCTGGCGCCAGCTGTGCAGGAAGTTCCAGGAGGCTCCCTGCTCCTGGCAGCTGCCCTCACCTGTCCACGCATCTCTCCGCAGAGTTGGATGGGGCATCGGGCGGATGACAGCGGGAACAGTTGTGATCACTGGCGGAATCCTAGCTGCGGTCATCCTCCTCTCCATCATCGCCGTCCTGTGCTACTGTAGGCTCCAGGTCAGTTCCGGGCCTCGGCCAGAAGCCACCAGCAGACCACGTCCCCTTATGGGGGCCGACCCTGGAGCCCACTTCAGCGTGACAGAGCCGCGGGCTGGGGGAAGTACAAGTCAAGGGGTTTGGGAGTCGGAGGGCAGTCAGAGGGGTACCCAGAGAGCTCACTGTGCTATGTCTCCCCGAGGCTGAATGGTGGGAAGGGCACTGTCTGGGGGGACTCTGACAGCTGCTGCCAGCCCTGTCCTCAGTACAATTGTATGTCCCGCCCTCCACCCCCCTGCCTCCCAGGCCAAGGCCTGGAGTTAATACACTAGGGCAGTGGTCTGCAAACTGCAGCTTGAGAGACACATGCGGCTCTTTGGCCCCTTGAGTTTTTAGCAAAGGCCAGCTTAGGAGTACCCTAATCAAGTTAATAACAATGTACCTACCTATGTAGTTGAAGTTTAAAAATTTTGGCTCTCAAAAGAAATTTCAATCGTTGTACTGCTGATATTTGGCTCTGTTGACTAATGTGTTTGCCGACCACTGCTCGGGAGGAGGGGAAGGAAAGGGGAGATTTTGCAAGGCTGGGAGTCTGCACCTGTGGAAGGTGGTCTCGGGGTGGGTTGGCCAGCAGTGGAGCAGGGGCGTGGTTGCCTGTGCCACTCAGAGGGGCCCTGCTCTCCCCTCAGTATTACTGCTGCAAGAGGAGCGGAGAGGAGGATGCAGAGGAGGAGGAGGAGGAGCACGACCTGCCCACCCCCTCCAGAGGCCCCCCCTGCAATGCCTGCAGCGCCCGAGCCCTGGACGGCAGAGGCGGCCTGGCGCCCGTCACCAGCGAGCCCTGCGGCCCGCCGGGCGGGGTGGCAGCCGGCCACTGCGCCACCTGCTCCCCATACAGCTCCCCCTTTTACATCCGGACAGCCGACATGGTGCCCAACGGGGGCGGGAGCGAGAGGTTCTCCTTCGCGCCCACATATTACAAGGAGGGGGGCCTCCCATCCCTCCAGCTGGCAGCACCCCACAGTTACCCGGTGACGTGGCCGGGCTCTGGGCGTGAGGCTCTCACTAATCCAAGGGCTATTAGTACAGAAGTGTGACCCCTTTCATCCCGAACCCCCACACACACACCCACACGCTGCTCCGCCAGGGGCGCTGTGCCCGCCCGCGGCTGCCTCCCGGCATCCCACAGGACTCTCTCGTGTCCTTGGCTTTTCTTGCCCCGCAGGGGGAGGCTCCCAGGATTGAAGCCATCGGGTGCTCTGACAGCAGCTGTACCCTGTGCCGGTTTCCCTGTTGGGACGTTCCTCGGGCCAACGCCAGCCCCCCAGGCCCTCTCATTCCCCACCCCCACCCCCGGCTTTGCCAGTCTTGTGAGAGGAAAGGAGCGCTGTGCAAAGGTCCGGAGGCCTCCAGCATCCTCGGGGGGTGAAAGAAGAAGGGGGACCCAGGGCAGGGGGCCTGGGCACAGTAAAACCGCGCCATTTGAGAAGGAAGAGGACGGTGTTAAAAGGCCTGCTTCAGGACTCGCTAAAACACACCCAAAAGCCAGTTCGCGATTTAGTTCTGTCCTCTTGGTGGTCATAGAGACCGCAAAGCCTGTAGCTGCTCGAATGTCCACGTTGGTCCCTGACCACAGCACAGCTGTGGCTGCACCCTTGCTTGTGGGGCACGTTGCGTTGGCTTTAAGGCGTCGGGTTGTTGAGAGGAATGCACCAAAGAGTGACCGTCCAACCTTGCCTCCCCCCCACATCCTTCCTTTGCTTCAGGAACCAGCTGCCCCGCTGAGAACCTTTCTCAAGAGAGGTTACTAGAGTTCGAGTAGCTTAGCCAGTGAGGTCCTGCTGACGGCCTCGGGGGCCGTGGTCCCCCACACCCAGAGGTGTGTGTGGGCACAGTCCCGCGGGGTGTGTGCGATGCCGGTGTGTGCACACACTCCTGCCACCGCCAGCACCGGGCTCTGCTGCCTCCAGGAGCCGCAGACCGGGAGGGTCTCTGATGTAGCTGCTGGAAGGGAGAGTCTGACCCGCAGGCAGCATGCGCAGAGGGGGCTCGAGGTGGCCGGTCCCCACAGCAGTGAGGTGGCTGCTCCAGGAAGAGGCCGAGGCGCCTCCCGAGGGATGCTGCCGCCCTGTCAGCCCCTCTCCTCTGTCATTCGGCCAGACCGCTGGTTCCACCAGGGCAGCGCCTGAGGACCCAGGCGTCTGACTTAGCCGCCGGATTCTCTTTGCTGCCCTCCCTCCGCCGCCTGACCCCCAGTCTCCGGGCGAGGGCCCCCCAGTCTCCGGGTGAGGGCCTTCTCGTGGCTGTCTCACTCTGGCCCAAGTCCAACCCCCACTTCCCACTTCTAGCTCAGCCTTGGCCTTACCCGGTCTGAGTGAGTGCATCCGATGAGTTTTCCAGTTGTCTCTGCAGTAAGGAGGGGCTGCACCCCTCTGAAGGGCATAACTAACCCCCCCACACTCCAGAATCACTGAATGCTGCAGAAGATGGGGCAGGAAAGGAGCTGGCCCCTCTGCTGAAATACTGATTTTGTATTTGAGAAAGGGCAGGGTGCAGCCAGGAAGAGGATTGGGGAGGGGGAGGGGATTCACCGCCCCTTTGCATCACCGTTCAGGCTCGGGGCACCCTGCATCTCAGTCTGGAGGGCTCACTGGGTTGAGAACCAGTGGACCTCCGTCGAGCCACACTTTGGTCGCTCATTAGCTCCAGTACCAGTCATTCATCTTCCCTGAGACCCCATTTCCTCCAGGGGACTGAGACTCACCCAGAGGACTCCAAGGGCCCTCTGAGGACTGCCTGCAAAGGTCTGCCAGCCAGCCACGCTCTCTTGCCCCGGTCCTGGCAGGAGCTGGACACACCTGCCAGCTGCCTGATCCTGTGTGCAGGGACGCGTGCTAAGGGGTGAAAGACCACAGTCAGACATGGGGTTAGCAGGCAAAGCAATTCCAATTATATGTAAAAAAGCACACATTTGACTCTCCCATGAGTGACCTCACATGGCACCATTTCTCTTAGACCAGGATACATCCCTAGATGGGTATAATGAGACCTGTCTCTGAGCCCAGAGGGACCAGCTTAGGACAGCAGCTTTAACATACCCCATGCCACGGCCAGCCCGGACCGGGTCAAGGGCACCCCCTTTGACCTGAGTAGCTGGGCCTGGCAGCCCTGGCCACATCCCGACCACCAGCCCAGTGCCTAGCTGCCCTGGAGTTCCACAGCCAATCACCCTGAGCAAGGGCTGTCCTTCCCCCCACCCCCCAAAAAAACAAACAAAAACAAAACAGTGTCATCTTCCTTCTTTGCCTTCGCAGAAATCAAGGCAACATGGTCAATGGGCCCCCGCTCCTTACCCCTGATCTGTTAGGGTCCCCAAGTGAGAACCATCCTGTGCAGTCCTGTCTCCTTAGCTTCCCCAGCCTAAGTCCTGCCATCCCACAAATGGAAATGTGTTTGGAGGCATTGGAGAGACGGTGGGCACCGGCTCTCCCACACGCAGCCCCACGCTGCTCGGGCACAGGCTGAGGATTGCCACCGGGGCCTCACCTGTGCAAGAGGAAGCTCGCCCCACTCCGCTGCACGGCACCTTTCAGTGATGGGACACTATCCGGACACTTTCCAAACTGCACCCCAAACGGGAGGAGGAGAGGCCGGGAGCACCCTGTCCTGCCACCCTCTCCCCACCGCCGCTCCTGCCGGGGGCCTCTTCTCCCGCGCCTCTGGTGACTCGGAGTCGCAGCCGAGTGAATGTCAATAAATGAGGAGTTTGAAACAAACCCCACAGGGTCCTCCGTTCTTCACCCGGGAGCTGGGCACGGACGTAAGGTCCACTACCAGCTTCCTTTCCCCGCCTGCTTCCACGCTAACGAGTTTGGCTCCCTCCTTCTCCCCCTCATCCCCCTCATCCCCCTCTGTGTGTCCTGCCATCCCCACCCCATTTCTCTCTCTCTCTTTTTTTTTTAAATATATTTTTTTATTTTTGTACAGAGGAAGGGAGAGAGATAGTTAGAAACATCGATGAGACAGAGTCATCGATCAGCTGCCTCTTGCACACCCCCTACTGGGGATATGCCCGCAACCAAGGTATTAATACATGCCCTTGACCGAAATCGAACCCGGGTCCCTTCAGTCCCCAAGCCGATGCTCTATCCACTGAGCCAAACCGGTTTTGCCCCCATCCCATTTCTCATTCCCAGCTCATGGCCAGGGAGCTGTGCGGCTGTGGGAAAGGGGACTTGCAGGGCAGCTAGCTGCTGCTCCCTGAGGTGGATGCAGCCCTGCCTGCCGAGGATGGGGCTCCTCGGGATGAGGAGAGACTGTGAGGACCCGACCCTCAGCTCTGACCTCCCGGCAGAAGGGTGAGAGCCAGAGAACCAGGAAACAGCTTTGTGGGGGGGGTAAACTCAGGGAGAGGGCGGGGGTGGGGAGAGATGTGGGTCTGCATGTGTGCCTGGGACTGTGTGTGTGAGAGCGAGCGAGATGCTCTCCCCACCTCGGGCCACCCAGAGCCCTGACTGCAGTCCAGCACCCTCTCTCCCGAAGACCCAGCATCACAGGTGAGTGACCTCCCGGGGGTCCTCTCCCTGGGGAAGGGCGGCTGGTCCTGGGGGAGGGTCTGCCCAGGCCCCGAGGGCAGCGTTTGGCTCCCACCCCTCTTGTGTTTTCTGTCATCAGCCACCCCGCCCCCACCCCTGTTCTACACACACACACACACACACACACACACACACCACCACCACCACCACCATCATCACCACCACCACCATCACCATCACCACTACCACCACCACCACCACCACCACCACCACCACCACCATCACCACCACCACCACCACCACCACCACCACCACCATCACCACCACCACCACCAGCAAGGAGCCCCGAAACACAGCCAGGAGTTGGGGGGAAGGGGGCGACGCAGCCCTCTCCCCAGTGGGCAGGACACTTTGGGTCTTCACAGGAGCCGGTGCCCAGAGGCTTGGTGGCTGGCTCACACTGGGCACCCGAGTTCGCCTTCCCTCCAGGTCTCCCCAGAAGAGGACGAGGCCCACCGGCGCTGCGCACAGACCCCCGACCACCGGGAGGAACGCGGAGCTCTCCTGCTGGCCTGCAGGTACACGCCGCCCGCTGCCCTCCACCCGTCCTGGTCCCCGACATCCTCCCGGGCTGGGATTTCCCTGGGGCCAGAGGTTTCCCGCCCAGCGCGAGTTGCATCCTTATTCCCAACGAAGGACTACTCTCCTGAGAGGATGTGTGTTCTGGGTCTAGCTAAACATCCTAAAACCAAAGCAGAGGCCTGACCCTCCTGACAGCGTCCCCTGAATTCTTCCTCCCACTGTAAAGGCCTATTGTTCTAAACGGCAAACAGTAAAGCAGGTTTTCAAAGTCACATTCAGACTCGGCAGAAAGCTATGCTGTGATAGGTCAGTAGGTGGTTGTTTTGGCTGAGGGTAGAATAGTGGGGGTAGAGAAGCCAGGAGAAGGGCTAGGGGCGGAGATGGGTATAGCAGTGCTTCTGCTCCAGTTCTCCTTCGGCAGCCGTCCCAGGCAGAATTGTGAGATCTGTCTGGATTCTCCCACTCCCCCCCACAACTGAACGCATTTCCTGTCCGCACAGCCCGGGTTAGGAGCCATCCCCAAGCCCCAGCTAACAGCCCCAAAGCCAAGCAGCCCGTTAAGGAGGCCAAGCCCCAGAGAAGCCCGACCGGAGCAGCAGGTTCCAGGCGCAGGTGCCCTGCATCCTGCCCTCGGCCACGGGGTCAGCACTCCACACAGGGCTCCTCAGTTTCGAATTTGCCCAATGAGGGCCATCTTCTCTCCGCCCAAGGGTGACCACGTGCCCATCTCGGTAAACTTGCTATTTTGGGAGATATAATCAAGAACCAGTCAACTGAGAAAAAGGGAAGGAACTTTATTATTGGTAAATTTAAAAAATAAAACTGATTTAAATAAGGCACATCCTTCAACATCAGTAAGAAACAAACGCAAAAGCAGTCACAGCGAGAAATGAAGGGGAACACCAAGACCCGTGGCACAAGCACTGGCAAAGCCCATTCTTTTTCATTAAATAGAAAAAAAGCAAAATGCAGTTGTGTTTGAAAGCCAACGTGCTCTTCTTGATTTGCTGACAGGGACGGCGAATAGGTTTACGGCTCACGGCGAATAGATCAACGAGGAGCAGCTGCCTAAGCTTCGGGCTGATGAGGCTCGGCCCCGCGCGGCCTCCGGGAAAGGAAGATGGAGATCGGTGTGCCTAAGGCCTTGCCAGCTCTACCCTGCCCTGCCGTCACTCCGTCACTCCGCCTGCTGCTTCCCAAGTCCAAAGCCTTTTTCATTCAGGTAAGTGCTCTTAGCCAATGGCAAGTTCAGTTTATGAGCCCCAGTGAGGAAAGTGGGCGCTCATTTCCCAGGACAGGAACTGATCTCTGAATTTCTTAAAGACAGAACAAGCTGAAATAGATACTGCAGGTAATGCTGGGAGGGAAGTCCCTGAAGACCAAATCATGTACCTTTACAGATCGTGTGCAGATTAGGGGATGCTGGTTATGTGCTGGGGCTCTTGCTTAGTTTACTCATGTATTTTTTTTTTAAATATATATTTTATTGATTTTTTACAGAGAGGAAGGGAGAGAGATACAGAGCCAGAAACATCGATGAGAGAGAGTCATCGATCAGCCGCCTCCTGCACACCCCCTACTGGGGATATGCCTGCAACCAAGGTACATGCCCTTGACAGGAATCGAACCCGGGACCCTTCAGTCCCCAAGCCGACGCTCTATCCATTGAGCCAAACCGGTCCCGGCTACTCATGTATTTTTTAAAACAGGCAGAGAAGCCATGCCCTCGTTGTGACAGGGCAGTTTATTAGAAACGAGTTTCAAGAACCCAGTCTCAGTGTCATTGAGGCAAATTTAGACCACAACCCGACACCTACACTGTTAACAAATGGGAAGAACGTCATCTGGAGACACTGTTTTGCACGGATATCTTAATTTAGCTCTGTCTAGAATTGATAACACCTCTTTTGCAGATGTATTATCCACAAGTATGTGACTCTTAAGCTCAGTTTTTGATAACTTAACGGACACCTTTAGAAAAATTTTAAAATAATCTTTTTGTATTTCCATGGATTATGATTAAGGTATTTATAATCAATAATATTCAAAATACATATATAAAGACACATATCCACAGTGATGCACAGTGTTCAAGATATTTTAATTTTGAGGGGGGAAAAATTATGACTTTTCAACCAATTTCTAAATGAATACTCAGATTGGTAAACCAAATATGAAAATGAATACCGATGTTTAACTACATCTTCAACTTAAAAAACAGAGTAAAACTGTTTTTATAAAATAATATATTGAGCACTTTACAAAGATGTACTGGTTTATTTTTATAATTGTTTTATTTTCAAGTGATAGTTTCCATATTGCTATTTGAAATGAGCTGCATGGATATAAGCTTTATTCCCATCAAATGATAACCCTAATCAGGAATATAATAACATTTCCATGTTAACATTAGTTCTTGAAGTGTTCAACACCTGTATACACTGCATAAAAATTTTGGTCAGAGATATGCCAATTAGGTGCTGATGAAATTCATGTTGCTGGATTGTCACTTTCACATGCTGAATTTGTTGGTTATTTCTTAATGTCCCTGCTCATTATTCTGCCTGTCTTTAACGGATAAAAATATAAACCAAACATTAAAAATTGAAAGGGTCAAAGGCACCTCAGCAGCTAGCCCAGTGCAAGGGGGCCCTTAGCTGGGGGATGGTGGGCCTCGGGCGTCTGAGCCTTAACACCATAAGCTTAGAGGCTTTCAAATGAAACACAGTTAAATTATTTTATTGATTTACAAAACAGAAACAATTTCATTACTACCTTTAGTGATCTCCCCATTCCCCCTGCTCTCACAAACTATCCCACAGAGGGGAAAACTCAAGTCCTCCAGTAGCTTCTAGAATTCTGGGGTCAATCAAAAAGTGATTTCTATTCAAATATAACATAACGAGATTTGTTCTGTGATGATAATTAAATGGTGACGTTTGGGTATTATGTACGGTGTCATGTGCCCACAAGTCACTGTTTTAAGTCAAATAAGCAAAATATTGATTATAGTAAGGAAAGATGAACTAACTACTAGACACACAAAAGGAAATTTGGAAACTTGAAAAATGTAAAAAAAAAAAAAAAATAGAAACAATTGAGTAGAAATTAACCTAAGTGTCTATTAGGTAATAAATTTTATTTGGTCATTTAAAAATATAAAGTTTTATGCTTTAAAAATAATCTTTTTTCCCCAAAGACCCAGAGTTAATATACTGCTTCTTTTTAACATGATTTCTGAAGTAATAGACAGAAAACTGACAACAGCTTCAGTTGATTGCACTTATATATAGAGGGAAGAGTGTTTTTGTGTGTTTTTAACAAAGGCTAATCAGCGAAAAGAAGTTGTGACTTTGAAATTTCCTTTTCTAAATTATATCCAAAGGAAATGATGAAAAACCATATTCAGCTGAGCGCATTAAAAAAGAATCTTGTTGCAACTGTGGTGTGAGTCGCTGATGGATTAGACATGCACACTTCACACTGATAGACCCGAGGGAGCCCAGGTCAGCTGGCCAGCGTCACAGTTCTACAAGGCACCATTGGTTTATGGGTTGGAATGCTAGCATCTGAGCTCCAGAAACACAGAAAAAATGTAAATATGGCATACAGACCTCTCTTCACTTTCCTCTGAGTGTATATTGGATTCATTCTATATTCACTTTGCTTTAACATTTTATTCAGGCAGGGCTTGCCTCAACTCTGTTGGGAGATTCCCTCATAAAGTCCCAAATGAAAATAGTTCCTTTAGGTATGCACAGGCCGTGGTTAGAATAGATTTATCCGTGTTTCCTGAGACAGATATTTTCAAATAGACTCTCCCCCATGTCTTTATGGTTGACTGTTAGGTATTAAGAAACATACCTATTTCTTCCTACTGTTTCCAAATTCCTTCCATGCTTTAATCCCATGACTTCTCTGCTCTCATAGCAACTGAGAGGCCAAAACCTGGCTGAAACATTCCAGTAGTTGGAATGCCCCAGGAAGCTGGGGTAGGACGGCTATGTCACGGGACACCATTCCTTAGGTCAAAGTCATTTACGAGAGTTCTGCTTTCAGGGCTGAAATGCAAAACAGAAAACTCCCGTGTCTGTCAATACTGTCTCAATCTTTCTACACCCACAGAACATGGCCTGAGAATTAATATTGACCATGAGAACCTCTTAGGAACTATCTATCCATCATGTTTCTTTCTCTCACTACATACATACCTCTTGCATTTCTCTGTGAACTTAATGGCACTTCTAACTAGCAGATAAAGAAATGAGGTGCATTATAGAACATTCTATCACTGCTTAACAAGTAAGCAGTATGGTCAAGTTATGCTAATGTACCTATATAAAATCTATTCATTTAAAATCTTTTCTTAAAGGACACACATACTGTAGACAATTGTAAAATTCCATTCAGGGGAGACAGAAATGATGATTAACAGAAATTAACAGAAGCTTCAGAAATACGCTAGTAAATGTTACTTTAAACAGTTCATTGATGTCTTTAACTTTCATAAAAAGCATGTCTATACAAGAAACCTATATTTTGTTCTCTTCGTACTCAGGAATTTTAATACATTCATTTTTTTTTCTATGCATTTACTATCTTCTAAGATGTTTCTTTACTTAATTGTGGTTTTTAAACTCCATTACCAGTGGAACTCTTTATTCCAATTAAATCTTATGAAGAATCCCAATGAAAAAATCAAAATAGAATTGCTGTAACACTGGGGCGGGGGAAGGGGAGGTGCAGCAGACACAGCATGAAATCATTGCTTTAATTTTTTAAAGCTGAAGTAAAGATATAGCCAATTAGAATTCCTTCATTCCCTCCCAATGATTATAAACAACTCCCCATTGTTTTCAATTTTTAAGAACATTTCTTGAGTATAACTGCTTTTACTCCAGCTGACGAAAAGAAAACAAAAACCACAGTGCCTTACATATATAGTAGTTAGATATTTGAATACAAATTTCCTTTTTTCATACTATTCAGCAGTGCAAATTACTATAAAATGTAATTCCACAATAAAGCTATTAAAGTAGGTTTTTAAAAATCTATAACATGATATAAATGTGTTTAAATTATCCTTGCTTCATAACTCTAATTGCTTTAGTCCAAACACTATCCTAAAGGGTTTTTAGGATCTCAAAAAAACAAAAATCACTCTCTAATTACTCTGAGAAAAGTATTTTCCTGTGCTACAATTCTCCTGCTATATTTTTAGATTTAAAAAAAAAATCCCATTATATTATACCATACCTGGTATCTATTTCAAACCTGATTTGCTTGAAAAAGCAAAGGGGGGGGAAAAAGTCAGATCAGCTTTTAGCTTTGTCAAGCTTCGATTCGAAAAATCTTTACCAAAAGTAAAATAGAAAAGATTTTTTTTTCCCCCTAAAATAAGCTCACTTGTACTTTTCAGGCCATCTCCTTACATCCCTTCCACAGACAGGGAAGGCCTTTAACGGAGCCCTAACTCCCCGCCCGCTGCCCGGTGGGTGGCTCAGAGCCGGCAGCCCTGCTCCTCGATGGCGCGCACGGGCTGCACGGGCAGCACCAGGTGGGAGATGCGGCTCCAGAGCCCGCTCAGCTTGTCCGAGTCCATGCGGTTGAAGGAGGCGGGCGTGTCGGCGTCGGTGAAGCGGGCCCAGAGCAGGTCGCGCACCTTCTCCTCGGTCTCGCGGGGGCCCACGCCGGCGGCCAGGCGGTCCTCCTCCAGCAGCACCGTCAGCACCAGCGCCACGTCCTTGAAGGCGGCGTTCTCGTGGTCGCAGTACTTGTAGAAGATGAGCGTGGAGCCCGCGGGCAGGGACTCGAAGCGGTGCACCACGGCCGCCTTCCGGCCGTCCTCGAACCCGGAGCTCAGCTGCATGTCCACCAGCAGCTTGACCGTGTCGCTGTCCTCGCGGGCCCTGCCGGCGCCGTCGATCTGGATGGCGGGGACCTTCTGGGCGGAGGTGTAGGCGTCCGCCACGCGGTGGCTCAGGCAGCGCAGGGTCTCCCTCGCCTCCCGCGCGGCCGTGAAGATGATGGTGGCGGGCTCGGTGGGGCGGGAGGCGTTGAGGTGCTTCTGCAGGAACTTGCGGCCCCGCTGCCACAGGAAGGCGCTCTGGCCCGGGAAGGCGTCCTGCAGCTGGCTGAACTGCGCCAGGAAGGCCTCCAGCGCCGGGTTCCCGGGCACCTGCTGGGCCGGGGAGGAGTAGTAGCTCTGAGCAGAGCTCAGCAGAACCAGAATCACCAGGAAGACAAAAACGACGGGACCTGTCAGAGAATGAGCAAGACCAACAAGATGAGAGGACGTGTCAGGAGCAAAACCCCTGGTGAACGGAAAGGAGGGAGAGATACTGTCCGATTTTTTACGAATGGTGGTGAGTTTCTTTTGCCAAAATCCTTTAAACGTTCTACTCTTAAGATCTCTCAGATACACTTTTTTTCCCCCTCTGATTTCTTAAGACTTAATTATTTGAAGATGCAATATCTTTGTGAGAAGGGAAAAGCTAAGTTTCTGTATTTGTTGCTATAATATGTTGCTACAATATAATATAAAGATGTGATGTAGTATTCTACCTTCTCAAAATACCTATCACCTGTAACGTGCCTTTTATTTTGAAGGGTCAAAATGTGAACATGCCATCTGCGAGGTTAGTATTCTCTAACTGAAAAGGCAGTTGAAGTGTCTCGTTTATGAAATGTCTTTCCTCCAGCGGGAATTCCCATTTTGGTAAGGGTGGCAGACTAGCAGCCAGCAAAACCCCTAAAGGAGAAACCCTAAAACTCTCCTGCTCTATTTCCCTGTTACCTACTATCAAACATTTTTAAACACATGACCAAACTGGTTAGATCGGCACATTTTCTAGGCATTCTCTCTGAGGATTTCTGAATGTGAATCGACACTGTACCAGCTTTGTTCTCACCATAGCTCCAAAAATCCTTTTTATTGCTCTTTATTGCGTCCTGTGCATCCTCTTTATTTTCTTCTGTTTGTATTTCCTGTTGATGACTTTCAGCTTCTGGGGGGGGGGGGGGGGAAGAACATTATTTCTAGGCAGTACAGCAATGAGAGTGTGTATACCTTTACACTTCTAACCAAACAAAAGAATTATTTGACGGAGAGGATTTCTATTCTTTGTAAAATTTTTCATTATATAAAGCTCCCCACCCCCTGTCTTTTCCTTAAGGTTCACTATTATTTGTATTCTACTTAGCAGAATAATGTCTTGTATTTTATATTCCTTCCCACTGACAAACAGCCATTCAGACTGAGCTCTTCAGAGTGCTTATAAGATATACAATCACAGAAGGTGAGAGCTGGGAGAGGCCAGCTGGAGATCTTATCCAACTTCCTCATCCTACAAACAGGAAACTGAAGTACCAGGAAGCTAAGAGACTTGCCCAAGGTCACCCAGTGAGAGGGCCACAACCAGAATCCACGGCCCTTGAGTTCCAGGAAGGACTTAGCATGTTGTAAGCACATCTTCTTAAGAGAAGATAGGATATTTGTTCTTTATATACAAATGGGGGGGGGGGGATCTGATAAAGAGAAATTAACTGATTTGCTCAAAGTCCTATAAAACTGAGATGGTACTTGTATCACTGACATTGGCTTTTTAATTTCCCATCTCTTGATTTTTGTAGCATTTAGTTTTCCCCAAAATAAGAGATTTTAAAAACTGTAAGTGAAAGCTTGCTCTTGAGAAATAAAGAAAAGCCAGAGGTGAATTCTTAAAAGGTCATGCCCCCATTGTTTTCCATAATACTGTATTAATACAAACAGTAAATAAGTGAAGACATTGTTTAAAAATGCAGTTTACTTAATGTACCAGTAATGGAATGAGCAGGTCTAGGAGATAAGAAACCTCATTTCTAATCTCAACTCGGTTGTAGCTCTGTATGTGACCTTGGACAAGGTCCCAGGAAAGAGATGTTCTCTGGAAAGGACCCTGAGCTGCTGTGTTCTCAGTGACAAGCGATACAGAACAGGACAGAAGCCAGTGGGCTCTCTCACCTGGTTCCACCAGTCGCCTCCTCCGTGTCCCCTGGCTCTCCGGTCCGGCACCGGAATGACCAGGACCCCGGACACCCTGGGGGTCTACGGCCAGTGGCTCCTGTGAAGCCTCAGGTCTGTGGCTCGCTTCCTCAGGGAGGTCTACGGAGCTGCTCCCTGATTGTGCATCTGCTCTTCCTCCCTCTTCACTTGGACAACAGCTGGGTTCTAGATGCAAGGATTCCTCACCCAGACTTTCAGGCTGCAAGGATTCTTTACTCAGACTTTCTGAGGAGGGCTGACGCCCTAGGTTGCCACCCTGAAAACTTTGGTTGGTCTCGGGTTCTGTTTTATCCTTCGGATGGTTCCCACAACTTGCTTCATCTGGACTTTCTGATTGGTCACTTGTTTCTGCACTTCCTGAACCTATTGTTTCTACTTCTTGGTGGTCCTTGCTGAGACCAGAGGCGGGGCTCAGGACCTGAGCTTCTTTGGTGGTACTTGCAGTGACTGTGGTCTCCTGTGCCTGCAAATTTATTGATGGGTCATTTTCCAAATCCTTTTGAGAGTCTGTGGAGATAAAGATTTATCATTTTTATTGAAAAAAAAAATTTCCTTTTTTGTATTCTAAAAAGTCCCTGATTAATATGAAGTAATATTTATATATATTTTATTTTTACAAGGCATAAATATTTCTCTTGACATACACTAATGGAGAGTAAGACAAAACAAACGAACTATTGTCTTAATAAGTTTAACAAATACTAATGTAAAACTATTCTGAAGGACAGAACCAACTTTTGGTTGTATTAAATGCATCCTCTTCCCTAATGAAATAATTGATCTAAGCAATCATCAACTGCAGTAACTGAAACATTATGCAAAAAGCTGATGAGGAACTTTATAATGGATGACTAGGCTGAGAACTGCTGCACCAGCTGATCAATCTTAACATGGCACACAGAGGGAACCAATCATCACTGACCTCCCGAGTCAATGCAATAGGAAGTACATCGTACCACCTAGGAAGCCTTCCTGCAAAACAACTGACTCTGAATCCGATCATGTTTCTAAAGCGAACTACCAGTTTCCAAGAAATACAGGGACAGAGGGATGTATTAAATCATCTTTCCCTATAATAAAAAGATCCCCTCCAAATATAAAGCACATCACCATTTTTTTACTTTTTTAAAACATCTTGATATTTTAAATAAATAACTATTTGTCTAATACAACCTTTTTTAAAGTCTTTTTTTAAAATATATTTTATTGATTTTTTTTTTTTTTACAGAGAAGAAGAGAGAGGGATAGAGAGTTAGAAACATCAATGAGAGAGAAACATCAATCATCTGTCTCCTGCACACCCCCTACTGGGGATGTGCCCACAACCAAGGTATATGCCCTTGACCGGAATCGAACCTGGGTCCCTTCAGTACCCAGGCCGATGCTCTAGCCACTGAGCCAAACCGGTTTCGGCTTTACAACCTTTTTTTTTTTTTTTTTAAAGAACCATTGCATTTTTCCAATGCTATAGATTCCAACGATTGGAATCTCTAAAACATTCATCTTAGCCTAAACCAGTTTGTCTCAGCTGTAGAGCTTCGGTCTGCGGACTGAAAGATCCCAGGTTCGATTTCGGTCAAGGGCATGTACGTTGGTTGCGGGCACATCCCCGGTAGGCGGTGTGCAAGAGGCAGCTGATCTATGTTTCTCTCTCATCGACGTTTCTAGCTCTCTCTCTCTCTCTCTCTCTCTCTCTCCCTTCCTCTCTGTAAAAAAATCAATAAAATATATTAAAAAATAATAATAAATAAACAAATAAATAAACAAATAAAACATTCATCTTACTTATAACTTCTTTTACTTCCAAACTTGAGGCAGGTTTCAGTCATCAGAGATTTTCCCTCAGCCCAGCCCTGGCTTCCTGCAGCACCAACCCCAGTGCTGCACACACCGCCTTACCCTGTGGCGGGTCCCCGGGTCCTCTGTCCGCCATGGCTGTGTTCTCTCTCGTCAGGCCTTGGGGTTCGTTTTGTTAGTGTCTGGTTTTCCTTGTGAAGAAGTCTTTTCTTCTTGTCCCAAGTCCCCACACACTCATGCTTCCCGCGGACCCAGGAAACCAGGCATATGTACAGTCACTAAAATAAAACTGGAAAAAAAAATTTTTTTTTAAATGACTCTTTAGTAATACCTGGGAGAAATGCCAATTTCAGCTTTACTTATTAAATCTGTCCTGTTTGAGTAATATTTCCTCTCTGAAACTTTTTCTAGTGAAGATAGAAATGTTTTCTGCCTTTCTCCAGGATCACATTCCATATTCTAGACTACAAATAGAAAAAGCTTCAGATTATTAACTTTGAACAATCTCCCAGTACATTCCAGTGTGGCTGAAAGGATAAAGAAGTTAAGACCAAGTGACCAGAATCTTAACGAGAGTATCTATGAAATTGAAATAAAAAGTCATTCTAAGAGTAGAAAGTTAAGTCACGGATGAATTACTCATTGCTGATTTCCTTTGTCTTCAACTTCTGTCCCATACACATTTCTCAGAGTTTGCCTGTCAGAAGCTTATCCCTCACAAGTAACAATGCACAGGGGCTACCTGCACACTGAGACAGCTGCCTTGACGTTTGGAGGAGAGAATGTCCGTCAGCAGATGAGTGGGTAAATATGTGGTGTATATATACTTATGGAATACTACCCAGCCATAGAAGAGGGTGAAACCTTGCCATTTGTGACAACATGGATAGACCTAAGTGTAGGAAGTCACACAAAGTAAATACCATATGATTTCACTCTTATGTGGAATCTAAAAACACACACACAAAAAACAACAAATAAAAGAAAAAGCTCATAGGTACAGGGAAGCTTGATAATTAACTATATGGTGAAGGATAGTAAGGAGACTTTTGGTGGTGATCACTTTGCAGTATATACAGATATCAAATTATAATGTTGTAACCTGGAACTTATGAAATGTTATATACCAACTTTAACTCAATAAAAAAAAAAAAGTATGTAAAAGAGCCTTCTAAAGTGTTTTTTCAGAGGCTAGCCTTCTTTGTATCTTTCTGACAGCACAATTTTGTAATATTTAATTTTACTCCCAAATGCCTAGCACAGTGCCTGGTGTAGAATTTTCAATCCACTTCCCCCCCCCCCCCCCCCCATTGCAGCCAGGGCCCTCAATCCACATTTTAATTGAAATTAATATGAAGAGTGTTGCTACTTGATAAACTGGAAGGGAAGGGAGGAGTTAGGGACAGGACTCCTTTCGATATTTGAACTGTGGGGATTAAAAAAAACAGGTCAGTAGCTCCCGGGGGAAGAAGTACTTGCTGGAATAGGGCATCAGAAGACATTTTGGCATCCAGAAAGTACTTCATGTCTTCACTGAGGTGGTGGTTACAATCAAATGTCATCACATTTAAAATCTGTGCATTTTGTTGCACGTAGACTATCTTCAATAAAAGTTCTAACACAGTGCTTTCAAAATGTATTACTTGGAAACAAAATGTATTACTAGGCTGCAGCCAATAAACAACCTGCAAAGGAACCGTCACAGGTATTTCTATAATCTCTCAAATGCTCAATATACACCTTTCTTGTCTCAAGGCACACACCATTCCTGAGGCCCATTGCATCCGGACCCTTTCTAATTTATCCTCGTCGCATGTTCATGGCTGAAGTGGTATTCCCTCAAGGCTGCAAGTTAGAGGAGCTTCCTGACACAGCCTCACAAGAAGTCACCTGCTGGGCTATCAGGGAGATCTGGAGGCCACCATTCCAGAAGCAGGTCAGTCCTGTGAATGCGTCCAACCCACATACCAAGACGTGTGCGCATTAGGAAGCCCTGGACTGCACAATGGAAGTGAGGCAGAGCCTCGTTCTCATGGAAATGGGGATGTTGAAGACCTTCTGCATCTGTAGGAAACAAGTCCAAAAAAGATACCTTTAAAGGGACCTTTCCCAACAACAAACTGAGGAAGAACCCATGTACCTCAACAGCATACGGACATTTACGTTTAGTGAGATCCTTTCACGTTCAGTCGCGAAATGTTGGTTTGCGGTGCCCCATCTGTGGAGGAGGGGATTTGTTTTTCCACGTTAAGTAAAAATTAGGCTCATGGCTGGCAGTTTATCCACTCCCCTGTGACCTGAAGGTTTTATTCTCCATTTATGGAGAACGCACCAGCTGGCAGATTGAGGAATGCCTTTCCTCAATTTTGATATCCTGGGACTTCTCTAAAGAGGTACACCAATTTACTTCACTCTTTCCTCTGCAGATGTGGCTGCGCTTTGTGCTCATCTCCTTGTACCAGTGGCAATGCCGTGACCACCTGGGAGGTGTTCACAGAATGACTTAAGTAACACGAGCAAGTTTAGCAGACTCCAACATACAAAGTTAAATGTTGTAAGGGTAACTCTACAAGCTGATGCATAGTACAGATTTATGTATAAATTTATAACTAATAAAAATTTGGAAGTAGCCAATTCTTTGTGTTGCTCTGTACATTGTTTAAATAGATATAAAATTTAAAAATTAAATGCATGAATAGAAAGGATAGACATTGGCTCCCATCTAATGCTTGCTTCAGCAGAGGGAAGGACAGGAATAGGCTGAGAACAAGGACGGGAGGCAACTGTATCTCTAAAGCATCTTTTAAAAGAAAGAACAGAGATAAATGTGGCCAAACGTTCGTGGGATCTGGGTACAGAGCTGAACGTTATTTTCTGCACTTTTCTATATGTTGGATGTAATGAATAATGTGTTAATGAGTATAAAACCTATTAGCTTCTGTGGGGGAAAGAATAGAAAGAAAAGGCCTGTGACTGTAACTCTGAACTTACAGTCCACCACAGTCTCCATTTTGTCACAACCAGTTGAGAGGAGACAGAACAAGGAAAAGCTGCTGGGAAACAGTAGGACCTCCCCAACCTCCACTCCATTCTGAAAACCTCTGGATTGGCCCTGGGGACCAGGCAGCAGGTGGGGAAGGGGTTAGAGACTTGGAGGAGACGTGCAGAAGTGGCAAGAGGCAGGTATCAGGAAGCACAAGAGTCTGCAACACCAAGCGCTAAATGTTTCTTTCAAAAAGGAGAGGGAAATTAGAAATTTAGCAGCTGAGGACGTAAGAGAATCCTTCAATCCAGGACAGTAGTGTAGACATAAATGCCATCGTGACAAAGGTATGACAGGGCCCAATAAGTGTGTATCTATTATTCTGTTTTTAAGTGCTCCTTTTAATGAAGGATGCCATTTATGCTCTAGAGATGAAAAGTAGCAGATCACGTGGTCCTCAAACAATTCACAGTCCTGCTATGGAGACAAATAACAAAACATACAGGACGACAATAATAGCTACCATGTATTGAGCATGTTCTTTGGGCCAGGAAGCCTCCAAAGCGCTTTATGGATTAATTTATGTAATCTTCACAACCATCTTACGATGTGCGGACCATGATTGTGCCTTCTCTTTCCCAGATGAAGTGGTTACAGAAGTTAAATCGCCCAAGGTCATTCAATAGTCAGAATTCGAGGACAAGCCCAGATCAGCGGGCTGCAAGGTCATCATTTTTCCTCTACAACAAGCTGTTATCAAGTTGTGTCCTCGAGATCCCATGGCAACTGGGGCTGCTGGAGGGACCTGAAGAGCTGGAAGGGGTATGACTCAACCTCACTTTTACAGACATCTCTAACATGCTGACAGCCGCATACTCTGAGTGCCACTGAGTTCTTTTCTTTTTTTGCCTGGGCTTGCCTGGGGTTCCTTCTCCTATGACTTAGAGATAAATCTTAACAGTCATCCACACCACCCAGGGCAGCTTTCTTTTGATGAGACATTTTCTTCCCCGTCTGCCCAGGCATGTTTCCACTCCCAGGTCTGCCATAAAATAACAGGTAGTTGTAAAAGTGATTTTTAAAATGGCCACCAACATGTGTACGTAGTATTATCAACCTGTCCACAGGATGGAAGTGAAGATGATATGGCTCACATAATCCAAAACAGTGGATAACTCTCCAGATCATTTGTCATGAAAATTAACTTTAGGAACACACTTATACTTTAAAATGCATTATTCTTAACTCTGGAGTACTCTAGAATGATCTATAGTATTTTAAACCAAGCGTGGTCATACTGAAATGACCTCAGCTAAAGAGCTACAAAGCTTTCTAAATCTTCTCCCTTGCTCAATGTTATACCCCACACGATGTTATTTCTGAGTGAACCATATAACTGTTATGTAATAATCATGTCTGAAGGCCAAGGATTTTACTTAAGGTAAAATTAAAATTAATATTTTTTATTCCTTTCTTTTGCCCATATACTCACATGGCTTATAATGACACCGTACAGAACTGTTTGTGAGGAAGGCTACAACGGTGCAATCATTTTAATTTATGACAAATGTGTGACTGAGTTGTAACCTGAAATATCAAGTGACCTTCAGTCTGACGGGAGATCTCTCTCTGTCACCAGCAAAGTACAATTACCTATCCCTACTGTGTAGCACTGTTAGCACTCCGTTCCCATCTTTTTAAGCCAGATAACTGAACACCCTTGATATGCTGCTATTGTATGTCTCCAGGTATGGCCCACTGAGCACCTACACAAAACTCCTAAGGCATGATTTATAAAATGCAGATTCCCAGGCCCTGTGAGTAACCTAAGGAGCCAAGATTTCTGAAAGATCAAGAAATTCATAATTTTTGACAGGTACCGATTTGAAAATCAATGGTATAAATCTATTTAATTTGTCTTTACTACTAAAAGAAGAGATTGGTTAAACCAAGTCCTCGTCTCTATTTTGCTGATCATTAGGATTGCACATATGTAGAAAGTTTCTTAGTCTGTATCTGAAAAAATGTAGGGAGCAATAATATTGATCATAACAATACCTTAAAGTAAATGTTCACTTTCTGGAGTGAGCTCTTGGATAGTGAAGGAGTTCTTAATCAAGGCATAATGATAAACTACTAATCTTCACTCAGTT